CTGACTGTGTTCTGTCTGCCTCGGCTTCCAGACAACAAGCATAGGCTCTTCCTGGATCTCACTGATCTACTTTCTCCACTCCCAGGGCTAAAAAAGGCCTACAAATGCGTCTGCTTCTCCTAACAGGAAGCCATGAACAACAACAGCCACAGGATACTTGCTGTAACCCAAAGATTGTATTACAAGAAAATCAGGCCAAGTTGCAAATGTCTCAGGCCAGAGGAGACCCCGTGTTCTCACCCACATCCTTCTTCTGGAGAATTCCAAGCTCGTGGCCCACCTGCCTCTCCAAGGGCAGAAAGCAATGAGGGAGACATGAGGCCAGCGAGGTCAGCATGGCTCTACACTCTGGGCCTTTTGTCAGGCCAGGCAGACCTGGAGCTCAGTCAGACCAAGGCATTGCTGGGCTGAACCTCCACCTGGGAAGAAAGGCAGCATCTTATGCAGATGAGGGAGCTGGAGATGGAACAGATTGGACAGTCTCCCTCAGACAGAGCTCCAGTGCCAGGCCAAGCTCCTGGGAGTAACATGCAGGAATATAGGTGGTTTCCTCCTTGTCTGAGTACCCAGGGCTGGCCCAGAGCAGGCCACTCCTTGGGAAGACAGGGAGGGGTAAGGCAGAGGGAAGCAGGAACAGAATGGGAGAAGAAGTACTGTATATTAGTCAGCTTTCCCACTGCTGGGACACAGTACCTGACGCCCGTGATTTAAACGAGGAGAAGTCTAATTCACGGTTTCAGGAGAGTCACACCATGGTCGGCTGGCCGCAAGGCAGAAACATCATGCTTGAAGACTGTTGAGGAACAAAGTTGCTTAGTTTGTGGCAGGAAAACAGTGCCAGAGAGGAAGGGGCCAGGGAGCAGGGGCCAGACATAGACCCTAAGGCTGCACCTTCATTACCTACCTGTACATACTGAGAAGTGTGTTTCACCAATCCCCAGAGGGATCCCACAGCCAATCAGGTTGGCACCCTACCCTGACCACCACAGGAAGTGAAGGGGAAGAAGGAGGGGAGAGAGAGATGGAGAAGAAGAAGGGATGGAGGGGGATGTTAGGGGAGGAAAGAAAGTGAGAAGGATGGAGGATGTGGGGGAGAGGAGGCATAATCAAGTATGAATGGAAAGTCACTCTAAATCTTCCTAGGAAAGCACATCACCAAATTAGAGGAAGGGCTGTATTGAAGAGAAATCAGAAGGCTGGAAAGAAATAGGAGATGGTATTTATGACACCAAAATGGCTGGAACTTAGGTGGTGATATCTCTTCTAAGTGGTCTGTAGGGATTTCACAACATGAAAAATTAGCATAGGAAAAGGGTGTCCCTGGCACTCACAGTTCCTTTGTCATCATATTTTCAAGGTTGGATGAATAGGAGGGGCCTGAGGATCTGGGTCTGGGTCCCACCCCACAATACTGTTGGGACCTTCTGGGTAGGCAAGGACTGGTTGGGAGTCCATGCCCACTACTGCACCAGCATTGTGCATGCCCTCGAGAAATACCAACTAGACTTATCAGGGTTGAATGAAAGCATGTTAGTACTATGAAGGGGACAGCCCGCCCTCCCCAAACTTTCTCTTCCTCATCCACTACCAGAAGCTCACAGACTCTGAAGCTCTCTGCTGAGGTGGTAGAGTGGTAGAGTACTTGGCTAACATATGCAAGACTCTGTCTTTGATGCCCAGTTCCACAAAAGAAAGGGGAAGGGGAAGAGAGAGAGACAGAGACAGAGACAGAGACAGAGACAGAGAGACAGAGAGAGAGACAGAGACAGAGAGAGAGAGAGAGAAAGGAAGAAAGCAAGAAAGCAAGAAAGAGAAGGAAAGAAAGGAAGGAAGGAAGGAAGGAAGGAAGGAAGGAAGGAAGGAAGAAAGAAAGAAAGAAAGAAAGAAAGAAAGAAAGAAAGAAAGAAAGAAAGAAAGAAAGAAAGAAAGAAAAAGAAAGAAAGAAAGAAAAAACTCTCTGTACCCACAGTGGGCTGGAAACCACCTGTTCCCAGGCACAGTCACCTCCTCCTGGCACTCAGCCAGCCTTCCAGCTTTCATGGGGCATATTCCTCAAGCATCCAAATGTGTTAAGAGAAATAGTGGAAGGACAGTTTCCTTTGAACCATTTGGGGACATGTCCAAACGGAGAGCCCAGGGGCCAATATATTGGGAAACCAACTAAAAAGTTTAAGAATCCTGAAAAAAGCAAAACTGCTGTATCTGCTCACCAAGCTGTGTTTGTGTTTGCCAGCATCCTCTGAAAAATTCATTTGTCACTTTTTCTCAACTGGCTGTTTGTAAACCTCCAGAGTAATACACTTTGTGCTGTTCAGGTGAACAGTTTAGAAAATGTATAATGCAGAGACTTTGAACCCTTAAAAATAAACTCAAAAATAATTTTGTCCTATTGCTTTAATAGCTTCTTGGGTTAAACCAGGGAGTCTGGACAAGGGCTGCCCACCACTGTCCTGACCGCTAAATTGTCATTTCAATTATGGCCATTTCATTTTTATGACAAGTGATTTGCCAGTGCAAATTTGTGTAGCAGTGATTGTGTGCAAAACATTTTTAAAAATAAAAGACCATATGTCAGACTTTCATTGTTCTGGTGCATAACAGGTCTGCTTTAGACAGGTGACACTTGAAAGCTTGCAGCAAGCAGGGGTCCACCTTGTTCGGTGAGGACTCCGAGGTAGAGATGTCTCCCAAGATGAATCACAGACTCAAATGTATATTTTCATTCATGTGCTAGAGTCTACAAGGTTATTCATTATATGCACACTGCAATAGCATATGAATAAAAAGGAGAGACAAAAATCAAAGTGAGCCAAAGACAGAGTCCTAAGAATGTCATGTGTGTTTGTAATCTCACTGGTTTATCAACTCCAGGGGGAAAACAAAAGGCAAGCAGAAACTACACCCAACAGGAGTGATGATGGGCTAGTTATGAGTTCTTTCACTACGTCCTTTAACATTTTTGTAATTCAACCTGCCAGCCTGCAAGTACTCCAGTATCTGGAAGCATAACCTAGCAAGTACCTGTTGATTCTGGAACCAGACTCTCCGTTCCCCAATCTGCTCGTCCATGTGATATTCTGTGGTGTTGAGCAAACATTTTCATTAGCTTTAAAATATTATTGTCATTAACATTTATCCATCACTTTCCAGAGGCAGGCATCACATGCAGCAGTGTACACAGGTCGCCTCAACCTGCACACAACAATCAGCATGGACAGGCCTATATGTGCATTATTACACAGGGCAGTGGAAGGTATTCAGTGCAGTTATATATTTATAAACATGCACTGTATTGCTGCCTTGTTGATTACTTCATTTAAATATATTAATATGCATTCACCAAGAAAAGAAAGGAGGAAAGGAAAGGAAGAGGAGATACAGGCAGAGGCAGACTTTCAGCTCACACACACACACACACACACACACACACACACACACAAAATCACCCAGCATCTTCTTCCCTCTTCAGATTCTCCCAGCTCCTGGAGCTCCAACAGGTGGCTTCGCAGTAATCTCCAGCCAGAGGAAGCCAAGTTTCTTATGGGCTGCCAACTCAATGTTCTCCAAGTGCCTGGCAGGGAGGAGGGTCTGGCGGCCGGCTTTGTTCAATGTTCTGCTGAATTTACTCATTTAAGGGTACATTTTAAAGTCATTATGTCCTTTGTCTTTTATTACAGCATGTGATGGCAAATGGTCCCTTCGCCAGAACTCACCCCCCACAAGACTCCAATAAGGAAAACTCAAGATTTGGGGCAGCAAAGACGTTAAACATTAAAGTTGGGTACAAACACAGCTGAATTATTTCATTGGGCCTCTGCCTCATGGAAGAGTAAATGTTTTTAAGAGCTAATAAATGGGAAACAGGATGCTTTCTTTACTGGCAAAGGAATTAAGCTCCTATGGTTTTCCTGTTGTCTTGCAAATGCTCGGACAATTTGGAGAGAATTTTAAAAGTGGCACTCAACCAGGCAAAGCAGCCACTCCAAGGACTGCTGATAAATCAGCAGAATGTCCTTAGAAAAACAGCACTCCACCTCGCCTTTCCCGAAGGCTCTCTGGCTGCTGGGCAGCGGGCTGACAGCCTGCAAGCCCCACGTGCACTTCCCCTGCCAGAAAGCAGCTACTTATAGCCAGGCACAGAGAGTGAAACCAACACATACCGCCCTAATAAAAAAGACCGATGCACTCGGGACGTTTTCTCCTTGATGTTTCCTGAAGACAGCCTCGATTTCATTTTCTTTCCTGTAAGTCTTTAAAAGGAATTGTGAATAGCAGCAAATCCTCTTTAACTCTGATGTGGGCAGATGACACTCAAAATAGGAGATGGCAGATGCCAGCCCCACTCAGAATTGCTCACGCCTATTTATGTAGATGCTGCCTCCCAGTTTTTGCTCAGACCTTGTAAGTTCTATCACAGCCATGACAAAATGATGACTCACACCTTGAACGCAGTCTTGGTGTCATATTTGATATTAATACTTTTGTAGCGTGGCTTTGTCTGAGCAATTAATGGAAGAAAGTCCCTGAGCAGCAGCCTGCTCCCATCCTCAGGGACCACAAAGAGCAGGACTGCAGAAGGCAGCGCTCATTGTGTAGGAAGGCTCCTCGGCCTCCTGCAAGCTGTTCAGATAAGCAGCTGTCGGAGAGGAGGGGGCGGGGCAGGAGGGGGAGGGGAGGTACAGTGGCGGAGGTCACAGTCATCGGATTGGATTGCAAGCCTTGAGCTACCGTTCTTTCGGGACACCTTATCTCAAGTATGTCCCTGTCGTGCAAGTTTAAAATCTTCCTAAAAGGAGAGCAACAGGAGTCAGGCTCAAGTTTACCCTCACGCTCCAGACAGCATCCCCTCCCCCGCTACCAACCCAAGGAGCTTGCAATTCTTGCCCAATGGGAAGATGGGAACAGGTGCCACCAACTCCATGGAGTCCCAGCAATCATCTGAAACATCTGTTACCGCATCCCTGAGACAAGGATCCCCTACCCGCAATAAAAAGCATAAGTTTGTTTCAACAAGTTTATTGTAAAATTCAAAGCTTCAATGACAGTGTCCTTAAGAAAACGAAACATTGCCCGGATCCCTTTTGCAAAAGCAGAGCAGCCTGCGAAGTCCGTCAGGCTCCTGCGGCTGTATCAAGTCCAAACGGCCTGGCCGGCCCTCCCCGCCTCAGGAGGAGCGCAGGTGCTGAGTCATGCCTACCCAGCCAGTCTGTCCTTCCCGGCCCTGAGGCCAACGTCCCCACCTCGCCTTCCTGAGCAAGCAGCCGCTCCGGACATTCGCAGAGTCCTTGGCTTGGGCCAGCCTGCCCCGCCTTGGCCCAGCCCCTCCTGGGCAGGCCTGCTCCTCACTCTCCAGGCTTCCGCCTGCCAGTCTCCACGCCGCACTCGGGTGTCCTCGGAGGGCCCCTCCACAGAGCCAGCAGCGCGCTAGGCGCCCCGGGGCGTCGCCCCGTCCTCGATCAGACCAAGGCTCCCGCCCGGGCGGTCACTCGGGAAGGGTGATGCTAGGTACCCAGTCGTTGACGCTGCGGCTCTCCTCGCAGAACAGGCTAAGCTTCTCCAAGGCTGGGTCCTTCCACGCGTCCTCATTGGGGTTCTGCCAGGAGAGCACAGCACGGGGTGAGCCAGGCCAGCCGCGATCCAAGACGGGGCGCGGGGAAGACACCGCGGAGGGGGCGGAGGCTGCACTCACCGAAATGAGGATGCAATGCAGGTCGCCCGGCGAGCCCCCCTCATCGCCCGCGCCCACGATCGCCGCCAGCCTCTGCACGTCGCCCACGCGCACGATGTCTATGTCGTTCTCGCAGCAGAACGCCTGGATCAGCGTGAAATGGATCTGCAGCGCGATATCGCCCTCGTCCTCCTCGTCTGCGGCCAGCACGCAGAAGGTCACGTTGTCAGGGTCCCTGCGCGGAAGAGGAGAACCATAAGGTCAGGGTCCGCAGGCCACTGTCTTCTCGGTGCGGCCCCGCGTCTCCCCTCCACTCCCTATCCGAGTCACTTCATCCAGCCCAAGCCGCGTCTATACTCACACGTTCAGGACTTTGGCGGACTCGTAGACGCCGGCGGTGAGGCAGCCCTGGCGCTGAGCCGATAGCAGCAGCTCGTGCAGCGCTTTCCCGGCGCCCTGCATCCTGTGAAGAGCGGCGCCATGAGCTGTGACCCCCAGACCCTTGATCCCGAGCTCCAACCTGCTCTCTTGCCAGCACCCGCTGTCCGCACCCCTGTCTGGCTCCCGACCCGGCCGGGAGCCCACACCCTTGCCTCTGGCTGCCCGGACCTGAGCGAGGGCTGGCACCCAGACTGTTCAGCCCCAGGAGCGCACCCCGGCACGACTCCTGAACTCCGCTGGTGCCAGTGCTCGGCTCGCACCCCGAGGACTTCCACCGCCTAGCACCACAAGCTCTCAGCGCCCAGACGCTCACCTGGCTGTGCTTTCCGGAACTGTGTCCTGGCCGCGGACTTCTTCCAGAGTCATGGTGCAGTTGATGAGCTGCAAGTTATCCAAAACCACAAGCGCAAAGGGAACTCGAGCGCAAACACGGTCAGTAGCTCCAAGGTCCGGCGCGCCCACCACCAGCGAGTGAGCCAGGAGCCACCGCGCTCTCCTTATATAGACCGGAGAAGCGAGGCGCCGCCAGCTGGAGAAAGGCTGCGCGCCCATTGGCCGGCGCCCGCTTTCTGATGCAAATGAGGCGGCAGACCGACGGCTCGTGCCAGAAGGCCACGTGGGGAGGGCTGCACCGAGGGGGGGTTACAATACCTCAAATCTGCCGCTTTTGTCGGGGTGTTACCAGGCAGACTGGAGCCTGCAGATTTCATCTCGCCTTTTTTTTAAGTCCTTAAAAGGAAAACTAAAAAAAAAAAAAAAGAAAGAAACCCTTGTTTGCTAATAGGCTGCAATTTGTGAAATGCACACTTGCAGACTGTAAAAGACTCTTGCTTTGCGTTTATTTTTACTGCTACCTTGCTATTTTTCTTTTCCTTTTAATTTGAAGTTTATGGGGCTGTTGCATTGAAAATGAAAATTAAAGTAAAAGCATGCAGCAGTACTCTGGGGCTTGCAAAGGCCCATCAACATAGCCTCGCCGCCGACCCTGGCCGCCTACGCGCCGCCTGGAGCCCTACAGGGTGGGCTCAGGACAGCTCGAACCCACCCACCACCCTCCCATGGCGGGGAGGCGGAGCAGCGGGGCGCGAGTGGGGGTGAGGACAAGCAGATTGCCGCCGGGACACGCGGCTCTTTTGCATTTCTATAGGGGCACACAATAGCGGAGGTCTGGCGTGTGGCAGTTTGCAGAGGAGACAATCGAGGCTTTCTCTGCCTAGCAACACTGTCCACCTGCCCTTGGATGGAGTGGGCAGGGCCTGCCACGCGCGGAGGTCGCTGGGTTGCCTGGCGCGTGGGCATCTAGGCCGCGTGCCGTCCCTGACCCGGGGTGCGCTTGCCCTGGCCCGGCGGGTCTGCTTGAGACTCTATTCACTCTTTCCTCTCACGCGTGCGGAATAGCCCCGCAAGTTGCAAAGAGCACGGGTTTGTTGGGCCAGAACGTCGCGGCTCCTGCTCCAACTGCGGGAGGTTTGGGAATGCGGCTAGAGAATCCCTTTCCCGGGGCGCCACCTACAGGCGGGCGGAACAGACCCGGCTCGCCTCAACCCACTCACCCTTACACAGTTCCCCCCGCAGCTCGGAGGGACGTGGCCTGGGACCCCCGGGGCACAGTTGAATGGAGCCCACGATGCGAATGAATGAGACTCAGAGTCAAACCTGCAGGGTGCGCTCGGGGAGTAGCAGGGCTCCCTACGACACGAATTTCCACCCAGGACCGACAAGGCCAAAGCCCATGTCTTATGCAATTTTTAAATATTATGCATTATAAAGGTTGTTTTCTGGTTATAAAATAATAAAAGTGGAAGCGATCTTGGGAGTTTCAGACTGGTGGCTGCTGACATCTGACCGCTGGTACAGCCGAGATGTGCCTGCTCTCGGCTCACCCGCTGGTGCTGTACCCCGTGCTGAAGGAAATGCGCGCTGGCTTTCCCTTTTTCTTGGAGAGACCTGGGCACTCGGTGACAGCGTGGATACTCTGGAAGTCCTGAGGCCTGGGGTGAAAATGAAGATGTTCACTCAGGCTTTCCGCAGGTGGTCCGTGAGTGCACATACAGTGTACTTTTGAACCTCCACTTCCTGCGCCCGGAGGCTGCCAACGCCAGTCAGTGAAGCCCAGGCGCCTTGCGCCCCCGAGCGGCTCCCGAGTGAGGAGACAGCTCGCCCAGCCTCGCCTGCTCTTGCAGAGGTTTGCTTTTGCTCCTTGACATCTGAGACCCAGGGTGTCTCATAAACGAGAGACGGGGCAGGGAGGGGCAGGGTGCTCGATTTGTTTACCGCCATTTCTTTTTTTTTCTTGGTCGTGTATAAAATAATCTTGTGCCTTAATTGAATAAAATATATGTTGAAGTGACTGGAACTTAGATATGTCTCTTGTTAGTCAACACTTCTTAAAAATGTATTAGATTCAGGTTCCCAGGAAATGTGGGAAGCAAGACTTATCAGATATCTGAGCATCTTTCCGATTTATAACACTAGAAATCTGCCCACAGGTCAGGCCAGAGGAAACGGCCCTGCCCCCATGGGAGGCCGGGCTGAGAAGTCCGGGATTCGGGTGGGGGAGGGCGGCAGCCAGTCTGGAGTAGCCGGGATGATTGACAGCCCCTGGGGCCCTTTGCTTTGCTCACACAGCTGAGGTATTCGATTACAGGAAACCCTCCTTTCTGACAGAGGATATGGGTTTATTAGGTCAGTCCCAGTGGATCAAAAGTACCCACCTCAAAGAGGAAAGAATAGTTGTACCTGGGGACAGAGTTGGCCAGCCATCAGACCCATCACCAATGAGTTCAGACAAATGCCTAAGCTGCTGGTCTAGGTCACTCGGGTCCCTCGTGCCGGCCACGGTCACACTCTGGGCAACGAGTGGCAAGTGGCTTCTAGAAGACGTTGGGTGATGTGCCAAACACACTGGACAAACGCCCCACTGCCTGGCTGTGTGGCCGTGGCTCTCCCAAGCTGCATTTGTGAGGAGCTGCTAGACACAGGCACCGGTAGGAAGCCGCACTGAAGCTGCCTTCCAACCAGGGAAATGCGGGAGACAGTGGCTTTCCTTAAGGGAAGTCCCCACAGAGGCTTCGTTTTGGAAACCCTCGAAGCCACGGGGTGCAGCGGCACACACTTGCAGTGCCAGACACTCTGGAGGCTGAGGCAAGAGGATCCTGGAGCTCAGGAGTTCAAGCCTGGCTGAGACGACATAGTAAGACCTCATCTCAAAAACTGAGGGAGTAAATAAATATTCCTCAGAAATGGTTATAATGTAACTGTTTTATTACAGTGTTCTCCAAAATGTGCTTCCTGCCGACATTCCTGGTTTGACGGGGATGTGGGTGAACATGCGTCATTTGGGTGAGGAGGGCAGCAGGCCCTAAGCATCAATAAGCTGCGTGCGGCGATTCCCTGGCAGTTCCTCAAATGATTTACAGTTGGAGAGCGCCTGGGTACTATTACTAAACAGCAAGCTTCACACCACCTGAGCAAGTGCTGGCGCCCCCTGGCGGGACTCGGGCTCTATGCCAGCTGCGAGCGAGGCTTGTGTGGCCTGTGGGGTATTCTAGGAAAAGCCAAGTCCACTACCATCTTTCCAAAACCAGCGGCATTCACAGAAAAATGTGAATTTTTAACTTCTCTTGGCAACTGGAATGACTCGGCTGCCGTGTACCTAGAGTCTGTGGTGCCTCCATAGTAACCACCCAAGGGATGGCTGTGCCGAACTCACCACACTACTGTCCAGTATGACACTCCTCACCAGACCACGCTGGGGACTTCACTCACTGACAATGCCTACCTGTCCCTGCATCCGGCAAGGCACTCACCCTATACTGGGTGGCAAGTCACCTACAGTGTGATGTCACCTGTGGTGGGCTGCATCTGTAGACTTCCTCTGAATTTTAATAATGCAGGGAACAGTTGCATTTGCAATCTTTGGAAAAAAACTGAACCCAAAATAAAGGGTTCGGTTTCCTACCAATGGAGTCAAAGAAGTTCAGCATTGTTTGTGTCCGAGGTCCTGCAAGGCGGTGTCTGCTTTGGTGGCACAGGGCTCTTCGGGTTGGCTTCTTTGCAAATGGTTCTGAGTCACTGTCACCCTCCCAACCCCTGCCAACTTCATCCAACCTCCCCCCTCCAGATAGAACAAGTCCCCTTGGGTTCTTGTGCTTTGAGAAGTGTTGGGGTTTTTGCTGTTGTTTTTGTTTTCAAAAAACTACTGTGTGATAAGACAGGCAGCAATGACTCCCATGACACAATTCTACATTAACTCAAATGAGAAAATTAATCTTTATGCAAGACACATTCCTGTTACTCAAAACCCAGCAGCGGCCTGGCAAACGCACCCCAGGGCCTGAAGCGCAGTCCTTCTGTCCTGCCCTGACCTCAAGTTCTTGAAACTGTGTGCTCCCCCCTCAGGATGAAATGTGTATCTGCAGGTGGAGGATGCTCCTGATGACAGCTGAGAGGGGAAACAGGAGATCAAGAAGAGGAAATCGTGGGACAGCAAACCTGGACATCAGTGGAGAGAGCTTTCTGGAAGAAAGTTACTTTGGGGTGTGCACTGCACAGCATGAGGGTATCATTAGCTCAGGGAGGCCTGGAACATCAAGGAAGGGCTGCATATCACTTGTGCCTTTGATCCTTTCTCCCTTAATGGTAAGAAATGCTGTGTGCAGACACACACCGTAACACTCCGTGTTGCTGAAAGCTCCCAAGAAGGCACAGGGCTGCTGCCTTCCCAGCCGAGCTCAGAGACCAAGCCTCTGAGCCTCAGTTTCCCCATCTTTGCCCTTCATGCATCTCATAGATGTTTTCTAAAAGTTACTCCTGGTCACCTCAAGGCCCACTGGGGTTTGGTTGGGCAGACATCGTCCTCAGTAACTCGCAAATTCAGATCTGACATGCCCCCACTGCCTGGGGAGAATGGATGATGTGCATTCTCTCTGTTACCTTGGCATGTCCTGAATGTCACACCAGGCCTGCAGGCACAGAGAGCCCCTGCCTGACCCCAAATACCTTTGAGTTTGGGGTAAACTTTCTTTTTTAGCAGAGGAAGTTTGCTGAGATACTGTAGCTACCATCTTGAAATCATCAGCATAGCACATAAGACAGAGTAAAAAACCAGAGATTCCAAACTGAAAGCCTTCATCTTGTTCTGAAAGACAAGTAAGGGACCACGTATTAATACCACCCCCAACAGCCAATCAAACTCACTGGAAGAATGATAGCCTCTTTAATAAATGGTGCTGGAAAAATTGGCTCAATACCTGCCAAAAACTGAAAATAGACCCAAGCCTATCACCATGCACCAAACTCAAGTCAAAATGGTTCACAAATCTCAATATTAAACCAGAAACACTAAATCTATTGGAAGAGAAAGTAGGTAAAAACCTCGAAGACATAGGGGTAGGCAGAGAGTTCATGAATAAAAACCAAATTGCACGTGAAACACTTGAAAGAATCAACAACTGGGATCTCATTCTACTGAAAAGTTTCTGCACATCTAAAGAAATCACCAGCAGAGTCAAAAGAAAACCCACAAACTTGGAAAAAATTTTAGCTGATTGTCCCTCAGACAAAGGGCTTCTATCTAGAACATATAAAGAACTAAAAAATTTCAG